CTGTTTGAAATCTTAAATGCATGTACACCGTGAAGTAAAGCACTATGTATGTTGGCAACTGGATGCTAAAAATTGAAATTGTCTAATATTCTGGGTTTGCTGATCACTTGTTACATTCACATTCTATCTCTCTAAGTGAGGTGTGCGTTTGTGATTCATTTTTAGTAGCAAACAAATAATTATAACTGACCACTAGAGGGCACTGTTTGAATACATATGTTTCTTAATTCCCTTCAGATCTATTATTATTCAGAAGCTAAGACAACACATACGACATACTGTGATGGACTAGAAGTGTTGCAGTTCCCAAAGTAAGTAACACCCTCTTCAATTTGTTCTCTTGTAATGAAGAATTGGGAATCGCCTAATACCGTAAAATCTGTATTAAAAGCCGCATCCCTAATAGAAGTCGCACACATCCTTTTTGAATAATTGAGAACTAAAAATTCATCATTTCTCATACGTGTAGATGCTCTAATAGAAGCCGCATCCCCTATATTGCATTGTACAATTTTAATAGAAGCCGCGGTTTCTAATACAGATTTTACAGTAGGTGATTTTCCATTCAACTGCGAGATCTCGCGAGATGCACGTCGAACGTCTGCCGCAAAAATCGAACGATTTGATTTTGAACTCGAATTTCTTTGTTTCGTAGCTCACATCGACCGGCCGATCTTCGACAGAGGAATATTGCTTTCGAATACCCTCACTTAATTGAAATTGTCTATCATCAAATGTGTATAGCAAATTATTAAGCATGAAAATGCCCCCAAAATATTTTCGCGTTTGTTGAATCCCACGCGATGTTTGACGCCACTACGATGCTATGACCTTTGTTTGTCCTGTTTTTACGTTTGATTTCACGCACAACGCGTGATTCTCGCAGTGAACGGAAAATGATCTATTGAAAAGTAATGTGATTAATTATTTATTAAACATTTACTTCAAAACAAATGAGTAAAATTAAAATAGGGACAGAATTATTTAGAACTTCTGTAGTAATAAAATAATTCTACAAGAACTTTGGTAAAGCGTTTCCAACACAAGTGTTAGTGAATTAATATAGTTGAGGTAGAAATAAACTTTATTATCTGTACATGGTCTCCCCGTTTGATCTGTCTTATGTAACCCACCATGTTCTATAATTATGTTAGTAATATTTTAGTGAGATCATCACAACCAAAATGAAACTGAACTTTTTTGTTATGAATATTTATTTATTGCTTATAAGCAAATTGTGATTTCTCATGATCTATGTCAAACTGTTGTCAACTTTCACAAAATATTTTTTTTTTCTGAGCTGGAATTGTCAAATGATGTCTAATAAACCCAGAATTTAGAAAGAAATGATTTAATGGGTCAAAATATCCTCAATGTTGTACAAAAAAAGGTATGTATCTGAAATAGTGATCAGATGAGCTGACTTTATACCTCATTGTCTCTATAGTAACCAGATTGAGAAGCATTATCCGGATGGCACTAAAGAGATCACATTCCCTGATCATACTATTAAATATCTCTTTCCAAATGGCTGTGAGGAAAGTATATTTCCAGATGGCACAGTCTTGAGGGTTGATAAAAACAGTGAGAAGACGATGGAATTCCCTAACGGTCAGAGAGAAATCCATACTGCACAATACAAGGTAGGTCCTCATACATTTTTGATTTGCTAAGCACACAATGGGAGTATTCGTGTATTAGTTTGCAGGATTTCAATGAAACTTCAACATGCTACATAGATGTTCTGAGACAATGCACCGACTTGATCAGTTTTTGGTTGAAATTTGCATATTAATTACCATAAAAACTCGATTAATTCATGGTCTCTATTAGTTCGCACACACCCATTTTATTTTCGAACGCTAATTTTTAAATGTATCCTTTTAATTCGCGGCGTTCAAAAACATGTTTAAAATTGTATCCTATTAATTCACGGGCCAGAATATAGTGGATAACTCAGAATATATTGCATGAAGACATTAAAAAAATACATATAATTTTATACGATCAGTACTTGGTGTCTCCGCAATCACAGATGATCTCCGTCATCACAGCCTTTCAGTTAGCAAGCAGTTTAGGTTCGGTAAAGATTTGACGTGTAAAAAATCATTCCCCCACGACACTACAGATGTTGGACAAGATTATTACTATAAGATTATGATGGAAAGCTTAGTACAGGGTTTTTTCGTCGCTGGTCCACAGGGTTGCATCGACCATGTGCCCACCATTATTCTATGGTCGGGCGATTGACCTCGTGTCACATTTTCATTATACCGGATTTGGTAAAAAACACTAAGTTAAGCGGTCATGTACCTTCTATAAATCTAACCTTGCACACATAATCTTGTACTGATGTGGTTTTTGTCCAAGAAAGACGTTCCCTTTCATTTAACCCCCAGTTAACTCTTCGCGTCCATGGTATTTGTGAGAGTTAAAAGATTTTTCCAACAAATGACAAGTAACTATTGATTTGCGTCAAGCTGGGTGGCCCGAATTTAAATATCAATATGAACTCTGGATGTCATTGCCCAGTGCCGCATGTAATTCAAACGTGTGGTTATTAGAGTTCAGTCGAAATGTACGTGAATAATGCGATCGAAGTCCGCTGCCCAGAGTTTATTATATTATAGTAAAATTTAATTTGACGTATGGTATGTTTATGTTTGCGTAATTATTACGAATGCAACGCATTATCAAGTCGATGTTAGTGCCCTAACAATAGTTAAAAAAACTAATTATCATGAAAGCAATACATAAAGAAGTACAGAGCCGGTACAATATTGTAAACAAATTTGCGTAATTAGAAAAGCAGTGCACTAAGTAAACGACGTTCAAGTTGATATATTCAAGCCAGTACAGAGTTGCATACAAGTTGCGTAATTACAGTACCTTCGGATATAATAACAATTTTACTAGTTTGACATGTGGGCACGAAAGAAAAAAAAGGTTGCTAAGGTAACGTGCCAGTTCAGTGCGTGACTTGGGGTCAAACTTCGGTCAACACACACTTGATGTCAGCATCGCCGTGCAACAAGTTTCGCAAAAAAGTACTTGAAGTTCATTTGCGTCCCAAAATGATGTCACTGATCACTCAGTTGTCGCAGCGTGTGTTGTGTCATGTCCATGATGCACCCCGTTTCGACTTTGGCTTGCTTTTCCTTCTTAGTGATGCGACCTCTCACCAATGTATTAAAACACTTTGAATTTATACTTTGCATGATTATATTTGGTCAACACGAAACATTATTTTTTCTAAACATTTTCTGAGACCATTTTTATCAACGCAGGGTTATTTTTCCCGACAAGATGGGCTTCGTAATATCACCCGGGCGATGCCTAGAAAAATAAAAAAAGGCAGTGCAGCCAGAAGGCTACTTTGTAGCCACGTGTTGTTTGTTTGTGTACAGAGTGACCTTTGCCATTTCACTGTTTCATTTCAAGTGTGCGTGGTCCTTGACGCAGTGCGTGTTCTCTGCCCGACTATACGCCATGAATGTCGCTAGCCACGAGTCTCAGAGGCACTAAAAAAACGTCCTGTAATTGTGTTCAATGGAAAACAAAACAAATCACTAATAAATTTATGAAAACAGCTCCCCTTTGAATCGATCAAAAAGTACTCTTTTAATTCGCGCGCCAAAAACCAATAATTTCCGATATTACGCTATTAATTCATGCACTTGAAAAAATAATTATTTTTACTACCGCGAATTAATCGAGTTTTTACGGTACCTTATATGTATAGTAAGTTTCTAATGTTCAGCTTTTCCACTGATATCTCAATAATCACTGATCAGATTTCAATGAACCTTGGTACATACGTGAGTGCTCCGGGATAAGCCACATTTATGTTTATTTTCGGTTTCAATTTTGTGCATAGTACTATAATCATCACTAATTTTGTTTCATGATTTTATTCAAAATGACTTATTAGTGGCTATTTTGTATTTTTATCAGTTTCTCAGATATACTAATTATTAATTTATAGATTTTGTTTAAATTTGGGACAAGGACAATACATAATGCATTACATGTTTGCTTTGGTAATGTCAAAACAAAACTATAATCACAAAATATTGTTAGGGCACCTCCAGGGTAAATTTTAGAGCTGCTCGTCAGTTAACACTTTAATAACTATTCACTAATTTAGTTGTTGGAGAGCTGTGCCTGTGTTCGCCAGTTTCCTCAACCTATTCAAAATGGGGACTTTTGTTTTGGGTTCCTTCCATCCGTCCACACATAATTCACATGTTCTATGTGATGTCTGTTGTATGCTCATTGGAGATCAATTTAAAATAATACCAACAGGGAGTACGTCATTTTCAATGTTTTATCTAATTAGGCCACCCTATATCATAACCAAATAAAAACATGAATTAGATACTTTTTCTCTACAACACGGCTTTTATCAACACATTTCGCTTTATACATAAATTTGATATTTTGGGAAATTGTTGCAAATGACCCATTTCACTTTAGACATGTATCTTGTTTAATTTCTTCATACAGAAACGAGAATATCCTGATGGAACAGTGAAAACTGTCTACCCTGATGGCCGTCAAGAAACTCGTTACTCAAATGGTAGAATTCGTGTAAAGGACAAAGATGGACGTATTATCGTAGATAGATTGTGTTAAAACTTTCGTATTTTTTTTAAAGAGATACTTGTACTTGTGTATTCATGGTAATAAAAAGACCAGGCCGTCATACTATCATGTGAATATATTTGTTAAATACATGATATGACAGCATTTTAAAAACTGGGGATTCCAAATAGCCTTGCCCCTACCTTATATTGTATATCAGACCAGTGTATAAAGTCTGTATCTGGAATTCTTTATAGAAATGAGAAAAATGTTTTTTATTAAAAAGATCTTCGAAGGTACTAATTGGTAATGTAGATTGGGTAAGGTTAATGTAGTAATTTATAAATATTATTGAATACCATAATAATCTTTTTGTACCAAAGAAGTGGTCCCAGTCTTTTTTCTAAAGTTTTTAACAATTAAATTAAAGAGTTTAGTATAAAAGGATTATTTTACGGTTATGCCTATGGTATCAGACAATGTAACATTATGTTATGCGAGCATGTCTATCCTTATTTGAGCTATATCGTTGTAGATGTACAATTATTCTGTCCTTCTGATCTTGAATAAAAGAAAATGCAGGGTTCTTTTTTTTTCAAGTTTAATTCCTTTTTCATTACAGTTTCTTTGTGCTTTGATTAAGCACATGTGCTTATATATATATCTCCCATTCAGCTGAATATTAAGGCCATGCGCTTCTCATACAGGTCTGTGACCCCAAATGATAATGGTCTAACCCAACCATGGAGTGCAGTCAATATGAAATGATACGATGTGTATTTATGCTGTACTTATGGACAGTTTCAGTTTAGCTTTAAAAATCTGCCTTCTTCAATACACAGTATAGCTGTTTTTGGGGTATTGGTTCTGTTGTGTGGTATACAATGGATTTTAAAACTACTGTAAAAGGCTTAATTATTCACAGGGTTTTAATTTTGCTTATTTCGCTGACTGAAAAATGTGCTAAATTAAGACCCAGTGAATATGTATAATTTAGCATAGAACACATTATCTAAATGATAAAACTGTGAATTTAAAACCCACTGAATATGCCTCAAATGGTAAATCAGTGAAATTTAAACCCAGTGAAAATTAGTCATTTTACAGTAATTCAAGACAAATCTGCTTGTTGTAATTGTTTGTTCCAATGGCAAACAATTTTGAGAAATGTGATGTTTTCTTTATCAGAGAAACCGAATGTTGAAAAGCTTTTAAAACAACAGCTGTTTAATTTACTTCCGCCTACCCCACCCACCTCATATGAATATTCTTTCATTTTTGTAAAATGTGTTGTTGTTTTTTATATTTTCAGATTCAATTATTTGTTCCTGTTCTTGTTGCTTGCATGCAAAGAACATGCAAAGAGTCCGTACTCGCATTAAAAACCATATTATTCAATTTAATTTCCACTGTCAAGTTGTTGATTTCAATGAAAAAAAAAAACTGCCAACATCAATGATAAAATCCGCCAATGCCAGGATTCATTGTTTCTCGTATTTTCACTGCCATGTTTCTTCCTGTAAGTCCTGCAGGGTTTTTACAATGTTAACTTTATGCAATGTAATTAGGTTGTACTGTTAATGTTGTTCAATACTTTTTCATTAACATCTTTAGAAATTCCTGTAACTTTATGAGTAAATTGGTCAAAGGTCATGAGGGGTTAATTATCGTAGTAATGGAGTTAATACATATGACTATGAGGGGGGGGTCAGTCTTTCAGTTCCAAAAATTCTCACAATTTTTGGAAGCAAATTAACAAAAAATTGAGGTTCATGGACATGCTTATTTTAGTTTACTCTGTATGGGTAATACCTACACTAAAAACTTCTGTTTCAAAACAATTGAATTTCTGTTGAGTAAAAATAAAATAAATTAATATCAGTATTGCATCATAATTCATTTTCATTCCAACTTTGAATTTGAAAAAGAAAATGTGCAAACAATGACAACGAAATTGTATTGATCAATCTTAACATGCAGTGTTTTCTCCTTTTTAAACAATATGAATTGTAGCGTATTAATGAAACAAGACACTTATCCTTATAATTACGAAAAATATGGAATCTTCCTGATCATAGTAAAATACGTAAACTTTTTATATCAACAATGTTAGTATTTTTGCTACAACTTGTTGACCGTGGTGACTTGCTCAAAGATGTATGATAATCAGTTATTTAATCTTCAATATACATTTGACAATGTTTTTCATGAGTTTAAGGTTATATTTTTTTTAAATAAGGGTGGTGTCCTTCTGAAAATATGTAAATGTCATCTATAGTTAGCCATAATCACTAAAATGCTTTGGTAAATGGCTGAAGATGTTAGTGATTGGTTAATGAAAATATTCAGATTAGTTAACCAATTAATCACATAGCTACTTTGCAAATGTATGCTCATTGTCTTGATCCTTGCATTAAATGTCCTTCTAAAAGTCAAACTATATCTATTGTGTAAATTGCTATTCATTTTCTAATTAAGTCTTTTTCAAATTATCATCATTAATGTGTTGTATCTACTTTGTTTTTTGTCGTGAGATAATTTGCTGATATAATGCTGATACATGACAAACTAGTATTATTCTATATTTTTAAGTGAAATAGTTGAATGTTTCCAATTCTTGAAATCTATTATTTTATGTCCCCTAAAGGTTGCACATCCTTGTACTTTATATATTCAACTAGCAATGATTTTACAAATAATTTTTCAAAAAATGTAAGTACTTGCCATTGAAGTTTAAAAAGTATTGGAAATTACTGTTATAGGACAACCCCCCGGAAATGCCAGGATGTGTGACCTTTTAGGGGTCATCCATGAGGCCAATCAGGAAGGTTCCATACCCTGCTTATTGATCAGTTCTTGACACAGCATATTTACATAACAATACTGGTAACAATTATCCTTTGTTTTCAAGTTTCTTTTGTGTAACATTTTAAACACTATTTTTGAACAAATGTAAGTTTTCACAGTTCTGTACATTTAATAAATCTGCATCTTAATGGAAAGGTGATTACTTATCTTTATATCTTGATGGCTGGTTGAATGGTTGTCATCAGCACCAATTCAAAACCAGTTAGTTTATGATGTCACACCAATTACTTGCACTTTAAGTTAGATATTAGCAAAATGGGTCTTACTACTTTAAAATTAACTAATACCAGTAAAATCTTCAGTTTCCCGTTTTATTCCGGCAGAAGACAGACTGGAAATTAGGGAGCTGTTAGTCAGTTTAATGCTTTCATTAGTGTGTCAGTTTAGGTCTGCCTGTATTCACCAGTTTCATCAACCCATTCAGTGACACAGTTTGTATGAAGTTTTCTCATCCCTTTCTAAGGCTTTGTACAGTTTAGCACTTATTCTGTGTGGGGCTTCTGAAGTTCCTGTATGTTTCTCAAGCCAGGACGTCTCGGGTTCTAAAAAGCTTGGCATGGATTCTATGCAGGCTTGCTCAAGGTCCTGTAAATTTTCCAAACCAGTGTGTACGGAATCTGTACCTGATTCAATTCCCACACGGAATTGGTGCAAACTTGTCCGGGGTCCATACAAAAAGAACCATCTATCCTATATGTTTGCCTCACCGCTGAAAACCACAAACCCAAAACTGACAGCACTGGCCAGACAGACATAGAACATTTAATCAGCTTGGACAATAACAATTCATATACTTTTCCCCACGTTTCCACTGATATTCGCGACACTCTGAAGGTTGGCTCTGTCAAGAAACGCACCATGAAACTAATAGCGTTGCCCTGGCCAAATCAAGGGTGAACAACTCTCTGGTCACTAGTAATAGGCCAGCAGAGGAAACTACCCGATGACTCTGGACTACTGTAAGTTCCCCTGTCTGCATCTCCGGAGCTGTCCTACTGAGATCAGTACTAGTAATAGGCCAGCAGAGGAAACTACCCCATGACTCTGGACTACTGTAAGTTCCCCTGTCTACATCACCGGAGCTGTCCTACTTAGATCAGTACTAGTAATAGACCAGCAGAGGAAACTACCCGATGACTCTGGACTACTGTAAGTTCCCCTGTCTGCATCACCGGAGCTGTCCTACTTAGATCAGTACTAGTAATAGACCAGCAGAGGAAACTACCTGATGACTCTGGACTACTGTAAGTTCCCCTGTCTGCATCACCGGAGCTGTCCTACTTAGATCAGTACTAATAATAGACCAGCAGAGGAAACTACCCGATGACTCTGGACTACTGTAAGTTCCCCTGTCTGCATCACCGGATGA